TCATTAAGTGAGGACTACCTGCAGTTATCTTTTGGGTCATTCTTTGAGAGAAAGATAGTGCAGTCTGATGTGACCAGAATGAACATTAAATTTTAGACTGACCATTTTTTTTACCTCAACGCTGGATGATCCCATGATCATCTAAGAAGAGTATATATCATAAATAGAATAATAATTGTAGTGGCAAATGAACTTCAATAATAAGTCAATATTTACTTAAACAGATAAACAGAATTACCATGGGTGGGCAAAAAAGCAATGGGAAGGGAGCAACTTCCTGCCGGCTTCCCCACTGACTTTACCTGTGGGAAGCTGGCAGGGAGTGTCGGAAATGACGATCATGTAACAGCAGGGACGCTGCAATGGCCACAATTTTGCAAATAAAAGTGGTCTGAACATTATGGAAATTTCAATTCCACAGGAGTAATGGGCCCTGAATTTTTTACACATTCTTTGAGTTAGTGGGTTTAGGTACCTTTATTCAAAAATTATTATGGTATAATGCACCATTTGGGCTAACTTGATAGTACAAAAAGACAAACAGAAAAACACAATGAGAGTTTTAGTAATATATGGATTGCAACTTGCAAATATTTGTATCAGTCAGAAAAAGGGTATTTTCTGTCATACCATCCACTCTGTGGAATATCTTCCCTTGGAACATAGAGTTACAATTTAAGCATATATTGAAAACTAATCTCATGATAATGCTCTTATATTATTTAATAGCCAGTTATATCATTTTACTTACATTTTTCTTTTTCCAATTGTAATGTATATTTCAATGTACTTTTATACTGATGCTTTGCTCATAAGCAATATATAAGTGTATTAAATAAACAAACAAAACCAAGTTTACACTGTTAAATAAAATGATCTTCTGTAATTTATTATTTATTTACAGACATTTATACCAACCATTAACTTTAAATTCCCTGGGTATGCACAGAAAAAAACAATGTTTTAAAATAGAAAGAACAAAGTAACCATTTTAAAATGTTCTGAAAAACATTTTAAGTTAGTACTGAAAAGATCACAAAGCTGATACCAGGCAAACCTCTCTTTAAGATAGGCTCTGGATAAAAAAGAAACTGAAAGGAGGAAAGGAATCAGCACATGAAATCAAGAGTACAGAACTCTAAAGTATACAGTGAAGATTTTTTTATGGCCCACTACGTTATTAATCAATATATTTTTCCTTGCAACAATTAAAAAAAACTTGAGGAAACTGGATCCTAGTTGCCAAGGAATAAGGAACTTTTGGTCCTAATAAACACACTGCACTCTGCAGAAAAACCAAGTTTATTAAGTACATACAGTAAATCTCAACCAACAACTATTTCCTTGAAATACAGCATACTGATAGGTTTATTTTGTTGGTTTATTTTGTTGGTGTATTTTCATCAAATTATTCATCTCAAAGATTCCTCAGATTGTCTTCTGTAAAACAGGCATTTTTGCCTGAGCCTAAACTATGGCTAAAACCCAACTCTGTCTTGTACTGGATTTCTTGAGGAGGTTAATAGTGTAGCTAAGCAGACTTGCATAGCAGTTATTTTACTGTGATGCCCCTGTTAATTTCTGAGATTTCTAAGTTGTACCAACAAGCACAAAATGATTTTAAAAAGACAGGAAGACTAGTGTAAGTCATTACTGGATAGCCAGTGTCTATTTTTAAGACAACTCAATGCTTTTCTGCTTTTCCCATACTAGATATTATAAGCCCTATTCATACCTCAGTGAACTAAAAATAAACCAATATTATAACTGAAATGGAAAAAAAAAATCAACAATGCATTTTTATTTTCAAATCTCTTGATTTTGAGACTTCATCTGAATATTGTAGGAAAATAACCAAAATTGCAAATCGCAATGTTCTTAAGTAACCATACTGATTAAGCCCAGTTTGTTAATTAGGGATTTGTTAAAACGCCAAAATGTTTCCTTAAGATGAAACATCACAAGTTGAACAGCTGCAATTTGAAACTAAGTTCTCAATTTACAAAACCTGCATACTATTCTCACACCCCACTGATAACCTCATCTATAGAATTCTACAAAAACTGTGGCAGATACTAAGCTCCACATTTTCACCATTATTTAGTAGCCTGTATATTTCAAAACAAATCCTGTTACTATGTTTAATCTCTGAAAATCCAATTGCTATACCAGCATAAAGGCCTTACCTCACACTGTTAAATAAGGAAACTTGAAAACAATTAATGTGAAAAGAATAAGAAGCTTATTTAAGATAAAGCAACCATCACTGATTATAATATATTTATGTTAGTATAAATTTCATATAGTTTATGTAAATGGCATATACAAATCACCACTCTTTGTTTCACAATTTCACATGATTTTCATATGGAAAACACCCCTTTCAAAAGTGGCATAATGCTTAGCATAGTTATTTCAAGTTTTATTATCTACAGAACAAGTTTAACTCCAAGTTCTATGCTTCTGCAACAAGTTACTTTGCATTACACAGAAGATTAAAAAACATTTGGTAATGGAAAACACCATTAAAACTCACAGAACATAAATTCACATAAATGGTAAGAATCAAGGTACAGAGCATCTTTTGGGAATCTTGGGAAACTATTCTTTACTTTACAAAGAGCAGACACACACACACACACACACACCAGAGAGAGGGAAACACTAATACTACTTTTGAGTTAAATCATGTTTATTTTTATTTACTGGGTCTTGCATGCTGATCCATTCCCTGTAATATAATTTGATATTTCTGCATTCTGCTTTTCTGAATAAATGAAAACCAATATGTCTTTGCACATATTTTTTCAAAACAGAATACTAATAGCATTAAAACCTATTAAACCTAAATGGAACATGGATAAACTTAGTTAAACAGGACTTTTTCAAAGTGCAAGTAAACATGACAGATGAAACCTTGGCAAAGATCTTAAGTGATTCGAATTTCACTTCAAGCCCCTAAGTAGATCTCAAATTTACCTAAGCATTCATCCTAAAATTAAACAAGATTAGGATTCTTTACTATGTATGATATTCATGGCAATGAATAATGAAAGATTTGATACTATGTTATTTGACAGCCATCAACAATTGAAACTGACTATGAGAAAAATGGCAATCCACAGAAATGGTATATTTATCTGTAGATTAATCTTTTTCTCCCAAATAATTCATCTTTAAACAGAAGATTTGTCTTAGATTCACTAGAATAGAGTTATAGAGGCAGATTAATTTTTTTCTGTTTAATATTCCTTTGGGGAGAACTGCCTTAAATTCAGAAGCATTTCTTTTGGGTAACTATTGTGGTAGCGAAATTGTAAATTTAAACCCATTCATTTGAAAATTCTATTGAAATCACAATGTTTACCTTCAAAATCAATGTTTCCAATAAGCATTAGCTTTACTTTGAACAGAACTACCTATTATAAGTTAGCAACTATGTCTTTAGCTAACAATATTTTAAGAAGATATATGCTAACAAAACAGTGGGCAAATTATCCCAAAGCACCTTTGCAAAAAAAAAATCACAGTGCAGGAACATATTACCAATATTCCAACATCCTGCAGGTAAATGCATTTTATAATTGGATACTCTGTGATTTTTTTTCTTGCAGACAAGTAAAAGGTTTTCAAATTTGGAGTGGGTGAGGGAAGAAATTATCTACCATTAATAGATACATCATTCTGTGGAAAGTGATATATAATCATTTAATAGCATAAATAATAATGCAAAGACAATCATATAATAGTTTGTTTCATACCCTTATCATGGTACACACGATACACTCAAACAACAAAAGATTTTTGCACAAAATTCTGTCATCCATAAGGCACCAAGATTTAGTAGAGTTAGCTCAAAATAGCTACACAGGATAGTCCAAAAATCTCTAGACTCACAAGGAAAATTTTTCTCACAACTATCTAGTCAGAGTAATTCTGACAAATCTGAACAGTAGTTAAAGAAACATTTCAAGTTTCAACATTGGGAGCTCACCTATTCAAAATCTTGATTTTGCTTTTACATTACAGCACTATCCTTTATTGTAATAAGTTATGCTCTTTTTTTCCCAACTGTAGAATATGCAAGACAGTACAGTGGGAAACTCTACATTTCTGCCTATTAACTTGAAAAAAAAAATTAAAACAAGACGGAATATCTGACTTTCTAATAATGACTTCCCTGCAAACATTAGGAACATTATAAAAGTCAAGGCATTCAATTATACTGGTAATATGGCATTATAAACAGATACATCACTAAGCAACTTTAATAAGCAAGGCAATCTAGAAAGTACCAACATACTGTATTTGCAAAATGCCTTTTCTATTTTAAGACTAACAATCTACAAATATTTTCTAAGAGAATTCCTTCAAAAGCAGCCCTTTTCTAAGCCATCCTTTCCAACCTTTTTTGAAAATTAAACCCACAGTGTTTTAGCCACAAAATATACCCTCCGTATGGAGATACTTCTATGTTTAAAGACTGAAAGTACGTCTGCATTTTCTGTTGAAAACACCAGGCCTCATACACCACTCAAGAGTACGTGCATCATGTGCAGCCTGGAAGAAAACTCTTGCCCAAGTCCAGGTAATGAAAAAAGTATTTATCCATAACTGCAGCCATGACGCGAAACTAAGCTTTTAACCAAACAAGAGTTACTTCCAACAAAATGAACCGCTGTGGTCCCAGCGCTGGGCAAAACAGAGAGCAACCAAGCGCCATGTCTAGGCCAGCCTGAGCGAAGAAGCGGGGCTCATGTGCTGCTGCAGACACCCTTCAAGCCTCCTTGTGCGGGTGCTGCCGCGACCAGAACGAGGCTCCAGGGGTGGTGTCCTCCGGCTTTCGAGCCTCCGGAGAGGCTTGAAACGCCTGGGCTCGCCTCTCACGCCCCCTGACTAACACGCCGGGAAGGCGAGAGTGGCGACCGGCGGGCGAAGAGAAGGAGGTCTTCGCCGGAACGCGTGTCCCCTGGCAGTCCCTCCCTCCGCCTCACACTCACACGCGGGGCAGCTGCAGCGGTGGCGCCCCCCGGCGCTGGAACACTCCGTCCACGAAGACGCCGTTCTTGCCCAGGCAACGCAGATAGAAATCACCGCTGCCAGACGAAGCACCGGCGGCAACAGGCGAGGACTGGGTCCCGGTCCCGTCGCCGGTGATGGCTGAGGCGGGGCCGCTACTGCTGTTGGCAGGGGCCTGGGCCTGAGCGGGCGGGGCAGTGAAAATCTCGAGGTGCCGCCGGGAGATGAAACTGGAGTGGCCCATGCTTACGTCCACCGAGCCCTGCGAG